GTCATAGAGCAAGATGTAGCATTGGTCCTGTAAGGACTGGCCCTCAGGTGGACTGGATCCCAAGAAGTTCAATCTCATGTGAGCTGGATCTTGTGTGGGCTTGTCCCATGAAACAGAATTAAGTATAGGTTCAGTCAAGCATGGGCTGGATCCCATAAAAACTGATCCCATGAAAATTGGATCCTGTGAAGGCAGAATCCCATGTGGCTGAACACCATGAGGACTGGATCCCTTGAGGGTAGAATCCATGTGGGCTGGATCCCATAATGTCCCATCCTAGGGAACCCAGTCCCATAGCATGATCCCCTTCATTTCTGAACCCTTGGGGTAGATGCCCAGAAATGGAATTACTGAGTCTTATGGAATCTCAAGTCTTATCTTTCTGATAAACATTCATAGTGTTTTCCAAAAAAGGTTGAACAGATCAACAATCCCACCAGCAATGGGTGAGGGGCCTTTCCTTGCCCACATCCTAAAAGAGCCCCAGTCTGGCTGCCTCTGGTCCCACATATGATAGAAGAAAGGGTGAACAAAGTGTGTTTGTGTGGAGGTGGGGGATCCTTCCTAGGGCACTAATCTCAACCTGGAGCTAATCCCCTCCAAAAGCTATACCTGCTGGAGTAATTTCACTGTCAACTGGGGGCTCAGTTCTGTCCACAGCACTTCTCAGTGCTAAGTACACGAGGACCTTTGTGACACCTCTGCACAGGCCTCTGGGACATGTGAGATGTGTGGATGTGCTGACCATGGTGTCCCCCTTCATCTTAAGTCCTCACTTCATGAGGCTTTGAGGGCCCCTGGAATGGGAGTTCCTTCATGGGCAGTAGTGAGGATGTACTCCGTGTCACTCTGCATACAGAGGGACAGGCAGGCCAAGTGGGACCTCTGAGGACCCAGGGCAACCAGTCAGTGGGAAGCAAAGGTGGAGCCATGGGCCAGCATGGCCAGTACAGAGCTAGAGGAGGGTCCCATCTAGGTGACCCCTGATCGAGTGCGACCATAGCAGCACAGTAGAGATTGAGGCACCATGTGGTCTAGGGCAAGGCAGTGCATGCAGGAGTTTTCTTCCAGTGTTACAGAGAGTCAGAATCCAGGATCAGGCCAGTGTTCCCTGGGGTCTGTGCTGCTTTCTCAATTACCATCAGGGGTAGAAGTCCCATGCCCAATTCCTGGAGACCTTCCTGCACCCCACCGTCAGTAAGTCTGCATGTTCTGGCCCATCTGTCCATTCACCAAAGGGCTGGCTTCACCTGCATGGGGAGCAAAGTAGCTGCTGTCTTCTGGATATCACATCACTGTTCAGAGGCAGCCAGAGGCAGGGAAGCCTTCTAGATCTTCCTCCAGAGTACTTGGATACCCCTCAATGCCAGACACTCAAGAAGCCACTGAGGCACTCTGCCCGAGTCTCCTGTGAAGGAAACATCTCTCCTAGTGAGGGATGCAGTACAGAGGACCTCCAGCTGCAATTGACCCCAGTCTGAACCTCAGGGGGATGCAATTCTTCTTTTATTCAGCCCCCAACCCCACAGCTGTGTGGGACCGACTCCACTGTGCTCACTGTCAGTCCTCAAACTAGCCTTTCTAGGGAACATTTCAGGGTGCTAGAGAGAGCAGCAAAAGGAGGGTCTCTGGTTCTGGTTACCTTCCATGGCTATGAGTGGGTAGCCTGATCTGGCCTCAACAGTGACCCTCAAGCATGGTTGAATGGAGCTTCCTGGGGAACCTGAGCTGGGGAGGGAACCCGTGGGCAGAGCCTGAGCCTTTACAGAAGTGAGCACTTCTGTATGAACTTCCTGACACCCCACCACTGCCCTAGGGGTGCCTGATAGCCTGTGGGCCGTGGGAGGCTGACTCGGGGGCAGGCAGGGCCAGCAGTGGGGTAGGAGGCCCTGGACCAAAGGTGGTGGGCTTGTCCTTTGCCATAGAGGAGTCCTCTGGTGAGAGGATGGGACTCCACAGAGCTCCTCCAAGGGCTGAAATTCCTCTCCAGAGCCCCCACACACCCCTCAGATGAACTTCAATTGAATCCCAGAGCACACAGGTGGGAGGCCTGGGGGTCTACAAGGGCTTGGACTGCCCCCAACTCTGCTCAGGCTCTGGGATCCCAGAACAGCAGGACAGCACTGGTTCTCTTCCCCCCAACCGACCCGACTCCCTCCCGGGGACAGCAGCGGCTTGTCCAGCTCCCACAGGCGGGGCGGGGCGCCTGCTTGCACGCGAGGGGCTGGCCCTGCTCCAGGCGCCTGTCGCTGAGGCCCCATCGCGTGACATGGGGAGGTCTGTGGGCGCTGAGGAATGTGGTGCGGAGGAGGGGAAGTGGGGTGCGGGGCAGCACGCAAGGCTGGGGGGTCAGCTGCCTCCGTAGTAGGGGAGGGGAGGTGGTGGAAAGTAGATGAGGCCTCACTGTGCATGAGAACAGGGGTGATGCCTCCTCTTAGAGCCCCCTCCCAGAACCATCTGTGGGGTTGGCAGAGGGGACCAAGCATGAGAGGGGGCAGAAAGAGAGACAGGAAGAGAGGGAGAGGGAGAAAGAGGGAGGGAGAAAGAGTAAAAGAGAGGGAAAGAGGCACAAAAAGAGAGGGAGGAAAGAGAGAGAGAGAGAGAGAGCTTACAGGACAGTTCTATCCCAGATTCCCAGGAACTGATCTGGGGGCCATGACCTGCATAGTTGGAGAACCACATTGCTGCAAAGGTTGAGGAAACTATGGAATTGAGGGGTTGCAGGGCTGAGGATCTCGGGGCTAGGTTACTGAGGGACTGAAGGTTTGGGGGCTGGGGGGCTAAGGGACTACAGGGCTGAGAGGCTATGGGCCTGAAGGGCTGCAGTATTGAGGTGCTGCAAGGCTGAGGGACTGCAGAGCTCAGGGGCTGTGGGTCTGAGGGGTTGCAAGGCTGTGTGGCTGAGGGGCTAAGGGGCTATGGGGCTGCAATGCTGAGGGACTGAGGGGCTCATGGACTGTGGGGCTGCAAGGCTGTGAGGTGCAGGGTTTAGGGGCAGGAAGTCAGTGGACCTAGGGAATCTATGGGGTCTGAGATCATGGGGAGTTTTGAGCTGGAGGGCTGTGAGACTGCGGAATGAGGGACAGGATCCTGGGGTTCAATTTGCTCATGGGAGGCCTTGGTGACCCAAAGGTGGGCAGATGATGGTATTCTGAGTCCCCACATCACCCATGGTTACTGGATCTCTGGAGGAGAGGTGGGCTGTTGGCCAGGCCTTGTGGAAGCCTAGGACCCTGATCTCTGGCATCCCAAGGCTGGTGGAACTTTTCCTCCAGGATGATTAGAACATGGGGTCTACAGGGGTCTACCGGGGTCCTCTGTGAGACCAGGATCACTGGAGGACATTAGCCTCTGGATACTGATGCCTCGACCCCTGTGCTCCACTTAGGCCAGGTCTGAATTCAAGGTGCAATGTCGTGGGAACTGGGTCCAAAGGACAAAACCAGGGATTGGATCCCCTCTTGGCCCCCACAGCTCAGGTCTCCCTTGCCTTAAAAATATCAATGGGGTAGTGGGGGCAGAGGTCCCCTGCATCTCTGCCCAGGGACCCCAGTGAGCTGGCTCTGGAGTAGGATTCTGTGGGAAGCATTTTGCTGTGACATTCACGCAGGTTCAGAAGTGACTCTGTGCAAGGGGAGGCAGAAGAGGGAAGGAGACATACAAACTCCAGGACAAACAGACAGAAGTATGAGCAGTTGGGATGAGCTACCTCCACCTTTGGGCTCACCCCAGGGCTGCCTTCTCCTGGCACAGAGGTTTTAGAGAAGAGGTTCTGCTGGCCTGGTGGTCTCTGTCCAAAGGAGGTGGGATCCTGAGGAGATGTTGGAGCTGATCTTGGACCTGGTGCTGCAGTCTTGGTGCTCTCTGACCAGTAGGATAGACACTGAAGCCCCAAGTTTATTGACCAGTCAAGGCAAGGGCTAAAAGGTGGGGCTGAGCATCCCTGGGTGTCCTGTGACTGGTGCCGCTCCATCCTGCAGGGATGCAGCGGCACCAGTGCACAGAGCCACTTCTTTAGAAAGAGGGAGTTAAGGGTTGCCTGTTCTCTCCACACCAGGAGCCAGCTTACACAGACTGGCTTGCACAGACTGGCTTACACAGATGGGCTTGCAAAGACAAGTCTGTACAGACAGGCTTGCACAAATGGCCTTGCACAGATGGTTCTACAAAAGTGGACTTGCACAGATGGGTTTACACAGATGTGTCTGCACAGATGGGCTTGCACAGATAAGTCCTCACATGGGCTTGTATAGAAGAACCTGTAGACGGGTTTGTACAGATGGGTCTGCACAGATAGGTTTGCACAGACAGGCTGCATAGACAGTCATGTGCAGATGAGCTTGCACAGAGAAGGCTTTGCACCTATCAGGTCCTTCCCTTAGTGGGCAGCACCTCCCATCTGCCTACTCTGAAAAGTGAGGCCATTCTGATTTAGAGCATTCCTGTCAGGCATCCCTGAGACATCCAACTGCTTTCAGCAGGATTTGGAAGTACTGAGTAATGCTGAGTATGGGGCTGGGGTCCCTCCAGCAAGGACTTCCAGTCTGATGTGAAAGAGTCCTACACATCTGAAATTTCCACCACAATGTAGAGGTGAGGTCAGACTTTGGGTGTGGGGATTGTCCAGGTGAGGACAGGGCACTGTGGCTGCCAGTGAGAGGTGAGCGGAGGGCACAGGGTCAAGGGTGATCCAAGGCACTGACTGTGAGGTCCCACCTGTGCTTGGTCTTGAGGAGATACTGTGGGTCGGGATGTCTCAGGAAGGAGCAGGGAGCAGTGGTATCTGGGGAGCAGATGTAGGGGTGCTTAGATCAGACCCCATTTTGACATTCAGGTGTCACGCTAGCCCACTCTGGGCAGCCTGAGCCCCTATCCTCCCGCCCACACCTCAGGACTGGGCAGGATGTGCAGTAGGGCTGAGGGAAACAGCCCTGTGGGAGACAGTGCAAAGGGCAGGGACAGGGCTTGGCAGGTGCCAATTCCTGCGCTTTGTTCTACAGCACTGCAGGAGAAGGGGCCGTGGGCCAGTGCCTCCTCACCCGGAGTCAGAGACCCTTCCAGAGGGACCCCTGTGCAGGAAGGAAGACTGTTGCTGGAGGTGAGCCCCCACCAGAGTCGGGACCCCATACTGGAGGGTAGGTCATCACCCTCAGGGAACAAACAGGCCCACCTGCTGGCTGAACAAGCCAAGAAAGGTTTACCCTGAAGGGTGTGGCCCAAGTGCTTTGCTTTCTTCTGTGGAACATTTTTTCTTTCTCTCTCTCTCTCTCTCTCTCTCTCTCTCTCTCTCTCTCTCTCTCTCTTTCTTTCTTTCTTTCTTTCTTTCTTTCTTTCTTTTTGGGTCACAACCAGTGATGCTCAGGGGTTATCCTGGCTCTGTACTCAGGAATTACTCCTGGCGGTGCTTGGGGGACCATATGGGATGCCGGGTATCAAATCTGGGTTGGCCATGTGCAAGGCAAACACCCTACCCACTGTACTATCCTCTGTTTTTTGTCTCCTGGTCTCCTTTGCTGGCTTTGAGGTTATGACTGTCCCCCTCCTTTGGGGCATGTCTGTTCTTTCTCTCTGCAGAGCCTCGTGGAGAGATAGGTTCTGGCAAGAATGGGGTCTTTGTAGAGCCTGCTTTTCCTCTCCCAGCTAAGAGATGACAGAGATTATCTCTGCTTCTCTGCAGTTCTGAGTTCATGGCTCCTGGCCCCACATCTATGCCTGGCTCAAGCTGGGTTGGGGGAGCAGACACAGGGCCTGTGCCCACAGCACCTGCCAGGTCTCAATTATTTACCATGATTATCATCCCCTGGTCCATGGAGCATCTCACTCTCCACACACATGTGAGGCTCCACAGGACAGAGAGTGGCTTTCCTGTCTCAGCAACCCAACTACGTGTAAAGCCCAGAAGCCCCCATAGTCTCCATTGCACATCTTGAAGTTTTTGGCACATCTTGAAATCAAATTGTGGCACTTCAACCTTTTTGTTCTGTTTCAAAACCATTTTGTTAATTTTCACTCATCTAGCTGTCCACATATAGGCCACCTGAAGAATTAGCAACTTTGTCTAACTTTGTATAGACATCTGCTAGCTAGGTGAGCATTGGTAAGCAGTTTGGTGTCACTCCAGCAGCCAATGGAGCCCTCAGTCTATGGACTGCCTCCTCCACACTGGTTTGGAAGTTTTTGATGTTATCTCACCTTTTTGTTGTTATTATAAGCTGTTGTTCGATGTCAGTTTTGATCGCTAGCATGTATAAATACATTAATTTTTCTATTTTTTCTAGATTGTCTTGTATGTTGTATCTTGCTGGATTTTTTCCCAGTGGTTCCTGGAGTTTTTTTCAGTAGAGTCTGTGATAATCTGTACATACTCGATCATGTCTGAGTGCATCTACCTTTGGATCGTTGTATTTTACTTTCCTTGCCCCATTACATTTGTGATTTAATGCAGTGTAGAGTGGGAGTGGATGTGCTTTGCCCATTCCTGATCTTTGGAATCAGTGTTTCAAATGATGTCAGCAAGGCCAGGGAGCTAGGACAGGGTAAGGCACAAGTATCCTTCCCTCAGTACCAGTCCTGCATATGCCTGAGCATTACTGGGCGGTCATTCCAGAGTACAGAGTAAGAAATAGCCCCTGGGAACCGCGCAGTGGTCAGAAATAAAAAGCAAAGGAAAAATATATTAGCTTAGGTTTGCTGTTTTTGTAGATGCCTTAGATTGAATTTCCCCCCAAGCCCCCTTCTATTCCCTTTTTCCTGAGTCACGGTTTCCAAAACTTATTTGGCCTACTGCCCCCTTTCAGAAAAATTTTCACCACTCAGCATCCTCTAGAAATCAGCTTTCTGTGAGAGAAAAGCACCCTCCAGTTGTCTCTGACTGCTCCTATGCCCTGGACTGTTCCGGCACCATTTGGGACAGTATCATGCTTCGGGAGATGACAGTTTATACTGTGAATGGATAACGCAGTTGTGGCAAACACTTTGTCTGCATTGGTGAGATGCTCATTGAGTCTTCTCTTCAGTCTGTTAATAGTGTGAGTGTCATGAACCACTGGCCCAAAGTGGAGCCAGCTAGTGTGTCTAGGATCTCACTTTATATTGCTGGGTTGAAGCAGCTAACGTATTATGGGGCTTCCTGTGTTCATGAGAAATGTTTTTTTGCAGTTTTCTGAAGGCTTTGTGAAACCATTGAATCTTCTAATATTTCTGGAGTACATGGAATAATCACTGTTGTTTCCTCCTGAAATGTATCCTAAGCTTAGTGGCCAGCAGGGGTGGAGCTCTGTAAGGATGTTCTAGGAGGCCTGAGTCCTGCGGCTGTTCCAGTGTGACTATTAGCAGCTGTGTCCTGAAGGATGGTGCTGCCTGACCTCTACCTGTTGAATCAGGAGTAAATGGGCTGTCTGTGTGACTAGACTCTTCTCTCCTTGGAGATCTGTGTTTCCTTCCCTTGGTTAGCCATCTATTAATGGTTTGTTTTTCTCCAGATACAAATATTGTTTTCTCTGACCTTTGCTCTGTGTCATCCTAACCTGCACCCGAGATCCGCAGCTTGAAATGGAATCACCTCTGGGATGTGGTCTGGAGCCCCACGATGGGGCTGGGGCAAGTGTTGGTAGCACCCCCTGCCGGGAGACCCCCTGCACAACAGTGCCTGGTTATGAGGGCCTGGGAGCCAGTGCTGTCCCGCCCACCTGCATGGAGAAGCTTCTTTGTCCTTGGGATGCGTGTCTGCACTCAGTGCTGCCAACTTAACCGTGGCTCTGCCCTGGTCCTCTCACCTCCCAAGTTCCCATTCTATGCCTTGAGCTCTGTGGTGGGTGCTTTCTTCCTGAGGGACATTTCCCTGCAAATGGCCCCGTCTACCATCACCACCTGGGGAGCTGCCCTGGAGTCTGAGACACACGTTCTATAGTCACTGCATGCCAGCAAAAACCCTGAGTCTCTGGGTGAATGAGCTACTCATCTCTCAGTGGCTCACTCTTTCTAAGTGTGGTTGCTCTCACCACTACGCAGTTATTTGTTTTATTTTTATTTAGCTAATTAATTAATCAATTTTTTGTTAAGAAATAGGATTTATTGTGGGGTTGGGATGGGGCGTTTGTGTGCTGGGGTGGGGAGCAGAGACTGGAGGGGGCAGCTCCAAGGCTCTCAGGAGTTCAGTGCCCACCAGTCCGGAGGCCCAGGGTTGAGGATGTATTTGACCCCACAGTCACTGGAATGAACTGTTTATCAGTCCCACTGTCTTCAGGCTCATCATTATTAAACTGGTAAAGCCCCACTTTCTGGAGATGTGGAGCTTCTGGAGACCAGGAAACTTGAACACGCCAGGGAGAAGAGCCTCGATCACATGCTCCTTGTTCTGCAGTTTGGTGCGGATGGACATGATGGCTTGGCCTATGTGGACCCTGGTTATTCTGCCAGGCTCCTGCATACCTGTTTGGGGCCAGTGAGTATGAGAACAAATAAGAACATCCACGACAAAGAACTGTCTCCACGTTCCTTATTACAGCCCATACAAGAACCAGAGGCTGGGGACACTACTGAGGAGGTTGCTTATGGTCTGTAGTCATTGCACACTGGGCCCCACAGGTCCGAGAGCATACAGTTGTTAATTTTAAAATTTAGGACCAGGGCTGGAGCGATAGCACAGCAGGTAGGGCATTTGCCTTGCATGCGGCCGACCCAGGTTCGAATCCCACCATCCCATATGGTCCCCTGAGCACCACCACGAGTAATTCCTGAGTGCAGAGCCAGGAATAACCCCTGAGCATCACCCGGTGTGACCCAAAAAGCAAAAAAAAAATCCAGGACCAGAGCAATAGTACAGTTGGGAGGACGTTTGCCTTTCATGTCACTGATCTGGGTTCGTTTTCTGCTACCACATATTATCTCCAGAGCCCTATCAGGAGTGATCCCTGAGCACAGTCAGGAGTAAGCCGTAAACACTGCTTGGTGTGGCCCAAAAACCAAAAACAGGAAAATAAAATTCAGGATGACAATGTCCTTCTTTGAATTGGTGTATTCAGGTCATTTCCATACAGTGAAGTGATTTTATAGTGTTTAAGTTCAATATTTTTTCCTGTCTTATTTTTTCTTGTCTTCCTTTTGATTAGAATATTTCTTAGCTAAAACAAGAATATTTCTTAGTATTCTGTTCTAGTCTATAAATTTGGGGTTGTATATATATATTCTAATTATGTTTGTAATTGTTGCTCTAAGCTAGTGTTTCTCAGGCTTTTTTCAGTCATGGCCCCCTTCTGGCCTTCTTTCATCCCTGTGCCCCCATCCTACTGGTTGGCCCCCTAGTTTTGTGCCACAGCTCCTCATTTACATCATTTTCACCTGTGGCCTCCTTGGAATATTTATGACCACCAGTTGAAAAATGCTGCTCTAAGGAATAGAACATATGAACCCCACTTTCAGTGTCAGACAGAGAAGCTTAAACCCCAGGGCTTCTTCTGCCATTCCCACGTGTGGTATCAGTTGTAAGAGTCACATCTGCATGCACCCATCCCTCTGGACTGGTGGGCAGTGGGCACTGCTCAGAGTCTGTGTGGTGGATTATCTCTGTCTCAGCAGCTCCTGGGCCTGAGGTTCTGGTCCCCAAAGTTCCTTCTCTTCCCACTGAAATGCCCCATCAAACCTGCAGGGGCGATGTCTTCTCTTGCCACGTTTGGTAGCTCCTCTTACTGAGATGAGATTAGGTGTTTTCCTGAGACCCTGAGTAATGTCCACTTTTGAGCCGTTAGTTTTTCACAGGAGTCTGCACGCTTCCTCCCTCAGCTGCACCTGTCCCAGCCACACTACCACAGACTCTATCAGCAGCTGCGCCATGAAGCTGAATGACAAGCCTCTGGGTTTGTTTCTCTCAGAGCAGCCATTAGGCCTCCCTGAGCTTCTGAGTCCTCTGCCTTGGGCTTTTAGAAGCCATGTGTGTTGGATCAGCCATGCATCACAGATCCGGTTGCTTGCCGCGTAAGGTTGGAACAGAGTTGTTCCTTGATCTAGTTGTAGACAGCCTGGTCAGCTTCATCCAAAAGCTCCTCTCCACAGTGTTCTCCTGTGTCTTCTCAGATGGCCAACCTGTGATCCACACATACA